TTCAGTCACTCCACAAAACTGAAAATTTACTGAATAATTTTGAAATAATAAGTCATACTTTTGAAATTGTACCACTTGTTCACTAGCTACCTTTCTTATTGTACATATAATTGTAGTTAACTGTATAAGGAATTCTATTTAATAGTATATGTCTAAATCTTACTAACATTTAGGCATTAGGATTAGTTTACCTGAAATGCATTACATACTAGTGGCTTTCCTTTGTGCCTACCAATATATTACATGTTAACTACATTATTTGTGCCACATAAAGAAAGAAATATTGTATTGTATAAGTTTCTTCGTTACCTTACAAGGTATGCAAGTCAGAGAAACTGGTCTGTAGTTTAATGCCTCCTGTCTGTTTCCTTTCCTAAATATAGGGACTACATTTCCTGTCTTCCAGATTCCTGGTAAGTGTCCCATATCCATAGACTTATTGTAGATCATAGTTAGTGGTTTTGACATTTTTTCTGCACCCTCTCGCAGAATCCATGGTAACACATTGTCGGGTCCCATTGCTTTTGATGTATCCAGGTCCAACAAAAGGTTCTTTACCTCTTCCCCTGTTGTGTGAATGGCTTCCAGTACTTGTCAGCACCACTTATTCTCTGGTAGTGCCCTAGTTTTCACTGAGACATCCTCTCAAATCATTTTATCAACACAACAGAATTCCTTGTCGGTTTTTATGAGCTCTTCTCCTTTCTTCCTCAGTCGGAATTATCTGATCCTTTACTGTTGTCTTTCTTCTTTTGTTGCTCTGAAGTAGTTTCAGTTCAGACTTGGCCTTTGCTGTTATGTTATTCTCAAATTGTCTTTCAATCTATCCCCTGATGCTAGCATATTGTGTCTGGCCAATCTGGTCACTTCTCTGTTCTTGTATATCCTTTTCTTTCTGTATTTTTCCACTCTTATATTTTCTTTTTTGGCCTCTCTGCATCTCTGGTTGAACCCAGGGCTCTGTTTTTCTTTGTTTTTTTTTCTGCCTCTTCTTAGTGTGAAGGTTTCCTCATCTTCCCTGCATTTTCCTGCTAGGTACTCCAGCATCTCATCTGCTGACACCTTCCAAGTCACTGAACCCCCCCTCATAATTTCCCCTTCTAAAGTTTGTTTTTTCTTTTGCCGTCCATCTACTGTTTTTCCCCCTCCACATTTAGTTCCACTAGGTAAGTCCAGGACCACATGATCACTAGCATCCAGAGGGATCTTATATGTTCTATTTCACTTAAGTCAGATGTACCTGCAGTAAACACTAGGTTCAGTCTTACTGGCTCATCATCTGTCTTCCTTGTCATACCCTTAATCTTTTCAGGGTCTGTGCCATAGATCTACGGCTTTACGTTCAGGGTCCAAACTGTAGATCTACGCCAAAATTCTAGCAGCGTCAAATTTAGCGCGAGAAGGCTGGTAGGCCTACATCCGAGAGAATGGGTCTGGGTGGTCAGTGTGCACACTATAAAAAAATCTGGACGCCCGCATGGCATTATGGGAACGCCGCCAAAGTAGCTTTGTTCATCGTGCCTGGCGGCAAGGAAGCTCTCACTCCCCACTCACTCTCTGGGCGAATTCTGACTCTCCTTTTCATAACTTACAGTTCTAAGACTGATGGAAGTGGAGCTGAAGAGGAATTCTATGGTTTTGAACCATATGGTACAGTTGTACCATATGGTACAGTGGTACCATATGGTACATTGGTGCCATGTCATACAATGGTATCATATGGTACAATGGTACAGTGTGTCATATGGTACATTGTACCATATGGTACATTATACCATATGGTACATTATACCATATGGTACAATATACCATATGATACATTGTACCATATAGTACAGGGTACAAGGACCCTAATGGTGGAAATGGGACGGGTAGCAGACGAGGGCATAGTCACTGGTAGGCGGGATTCCCCAGTGGAAGTAGGTCCTACCCAAAGAGATGGGTTAGTTGTAGTAGTAGTTGTCGTAGCCGTGAAGGTTATGTACATGTCCTCAGAATCAAGATTCCATGATGTTGCAGTGTCTGACAGGTTGTACAAGAATAGTATACAATACCGACAAGATAAAGCCACTGGATGGCGAAACGTCTACAATAAAGATACCCAGATGTTGCACATCTTGTCGGTATTGTATACCATTCTTGTACAACCTGTCAGACACTGCAACATCATGGAATCTTGATTCTGAGGACATGTACATAACCTTCACGACTACGACAACTACTACTACAACTAACCCATCTCTTTGGGTAGGACCTACTTCCACTGGGGAATCCTGTCTACCAGTGACTATGCCCATGTCTGCTACCCATCCCATTTCCACCTGACATTACTATATAAGCATCAGGCACCTTGCTTCTGCTTCAGAATCTCCACGACTACGGTGCTCTTCGCACCTACTGCTAGGTTGAGGGACTGATTACCTCATCTTTTGTACATAGTTCTCCTGTCTTCAAGTTATGTCCTGGAATTTGTATTGATAAAGCCACTGGATGGCGAAACATCCACAATAAAGATACCCAGATGTTGCACATGTGTCTCAATTTCATCTTGTTGGTATTGTATACCATTCTTGTACAAGGAAGTCACTGATGTTGCCGCCACTCAGTCATTTTGGGTCAACTTCCCGCCGCTGTATCTCGGTAAGTACTGATCAGAATTTTTTTTTATGTTTTATTACTACCTTCACAAAAATATTATCTTTAATTCTGTAAGAAAAAATATTATTTTTTTTTTTTTCCAAAATTTCTTGGACACTTCAGATTTTGGCCTTGGACCCTGAAAGGGTTAATGCAGTGACTCAGAAAATTTCTCTAACCACTGCCCTCAACTTAGCCTTCCATGTTTCTGGTAACCTGTGTGGGTTCCATGGTTGAAATGTCCTATTATAAGTAATTTCACTTTAACTTTAAATGTACTCCTAGCTGCTTCTGCTCTAATGTCAACCATTGCTTGGTTGTCCTCGTATTCCTGCCTCAGTCTCCTATTATTAAGTAACTTCAGCTGTTCTTTCCTTTAGCTTAAATGTGTGTGTTGTGTGTGTGTGTGTGTGTGTGTGTGTGTGTGGGGTGTGTGTGTGTGTGTGTGTGTGTGTGTGTGTGTGTGTGTGTGTGTGTGTGTGTGCATGTGTCACTGTGTGTGTGCTCAACCATGCATGTGGTTGCAGGGGTCGAGTCTCAGCTCCTGGTCTCTTGTGTGTGCATGCATGCATGAGTGTGTATAGGAGTGCATTTGTGCATTCATACTCACCTATATATGGTTGCAAGGGTTGATTTGTAGCTCCTGGCCTCACTCTCAACTTTCTGCTTGCTAGATTCACTCCTTCCTAGCATCTTAGGCCCTGTAATAAAGTTGGTAGAATTACCGACAATATGTAAAGTAAAAGGACACAAGTGCAACTAATGTGACATTTTATTGTGGCAACGTTTCGCTCTCCAGGAGCTTTATCAAGCCATTACAAACAATACATGGACACAGAGGGTATATAAAGGCTCAGAGTGAGCTGCAATACTAGTGAGGTACCATTTCGATGTTCACTAGTGGTGGTGGTAGTAGTAGTAGTAGTAGTAGTAGTAGTAGTAGTGACAAAAGTAATACAATATGGTAGAGCAATTAATTCGTACATGAGTAAAAGGATATAAAAGCTATTACTTGGGTAACATAAAAATAGGTTGGACAAATATAGACTTTCCAGTCTATATTTGTAATGGCTTGATAAAGCTCCTGGAGAGCGAAACATTGCCACAATAAAATGTCACATTAGTTGCACTTGTGTCCTTTTACTTTACATCTTAGGCCCTGTCATGTCTGCTCTTAAAACTTTGTGAGGAAGTCTGTGTGTGCGCGTGCACGCGTGTGTACACGTGTGGGGGGTAAAGATAATAAAACTTTTACTAGTCACAATTTAACAGCAAGTGGGCCTTGGCAGCACTGCTACTATCTCTTGTACAGTATATTGTATTTGTCTTCTGTGCTGCTCACTGGACAGTGTTGAATGTATCATTGCTGTGAGAGGTAGATGGATGCATTTATTTATTTTGTTTGTTTTCAAACCTGAGCCAACACTGTTAATGAATGTGTTTAATAATTTAAATTGGCTAAGAGACAGTGGAAATGAGCAAAGGAAGTGTCTTCCATTGAAAAATTTATATATAATATGATGAGATTTCAGAGTAAGATTTCATTTTGAAAGTTTTGAAAACAATAGTGCCCTTTAACTTAAGAACAGTAATGGCTTCTACTTAAGAATAGTAGTGACCTTTAACTAAAGAATAGTACAGTAGTGACCTTTAACTAATGAATTATAGTGGTCTTTAACTTAAGAACAGTAATGGCTTTACTTAAGAATAGTAGTGGCCTTTAAGTTAAATATGACCAAAACACTGTGGCCATACTAATATAACAGTCAGTTTTACATCAGGTAAAATATATATATATAGTTTGCAGTATATAATTGGCCTTTCAGATATTTTTAGTTAAGTTATTATTTTACCTCTACCATATAATACTTTTATACAATTTAATTATGTTATTCCTTGTATTTTCAATACTTCTTATATAAATATAAATGTTTTTTTATTGACAGAGATATAATGCCAAGGTTATTTCTAGTTTTACATAACAAAAACAGTATACACTTATCGCCAATTTTATTATTGATCAGCCATATAATATAATTTTATATTGTAATCTTCTAGCCTCAATAAATCTCCCTTATCATGTATTATAATAAAATATTTTGTACTAAGAAAGTCCTTTGTGAGTTCTAGTAATCAAGCGATACCTTCTAAAGTAAAAAAAAAATATCTTATTTTAAATTAACTTAATGCAGTTTGATTTAGACATTTATTATGTCTTCATATATACTGTGCATTGTTTAAAGAAGCATATTTGTAGCTTATTCTGAAGGCTTTAGAACAGCACATTTATAGATTCATTTTTATATGAAATATTTTTTCTCAATCACTCTTGGGTTGGAGTGAAGAAAGTGGCAATATTTCAG